TGCCAGGCTCCTGCTGCTCCCCTTCCTGCTAGATACCAGCAGAGACTCCCGCAGCTTGCCTGTTCGGGACCTCTTTGGCTTACTTGGTTTGGTTCAAATGCTCGCTGGCTGTTAACTTTGGAGCCTGAATAAGAAATAGTGCAAATGTAAGCTTAAAGAAAAAAAAAATATCATATTGCCTTCCCTGAACATTCAGTTAGAAAGACAAAGATGAAACCCCAGTTGTCGAGTGTTGGAGACGTTTGGCAAACCCGTACAACATTCTTCACGATTGTCTTACAGGAGTATATTTGGCTTGGCGCTAGATGCTTAAAATTATTTCCTAGTGTGATTCTAACTCACACTGTTGTGGCTAATTGCAAGTGACTTTGAAGACTAGTCACAGAACACAGGCCATCTCCTTGGCGCAAGGGGACAAACACTCCCTGCAGTTATGGATTCCTTGGTCCTTTTCTTATCCAAGTTTGACTCAAAATTATTTTGTTTGCTTGGAATGGTGTGAATTCATCGAGACTGGTTTTGCTGGAAGGAAAACGGACCACATCATCATTTCTGAGGGTCAAGATACCTTTATTTGGCCATGTTCAGGCAGATTAAGAGGCCAAAACAGAACTCAGTTTGATTCCTATTATGGGAGGCTGGCTGCGGTGCATTTTAAAACAATAATGATCTGAACTGGCTGAGATGTTCGAGTCTGAAACTTCACGAAGTGCCAGGGTGCCCTACAAATACAGAGACCCCACCTTGTGCCGCAGCACCCTTCACCACGTCGCAGCGCGCACACTGCAGTCCTCACCGAAGCAATGCCCCACGCTATGTTTCTTGGCCCACTTCATAAAGGGGCTTGATTTCTCTCAACTCCTCCTCCCCCCCGAAACCAGTAGAAGGGACATTTAGCAACAAGTTGCTTTCAGCAGGCAATGCACAAATGCCTCGTTAACGTCACTAAGTTTTAGGCACTTCGCCTGCTCAGGGTTGTTGTGAACCCTATGCACCTCCCTCTTTAGGCACCTACAGGCTATTGCAAAGTCTGGTTCTCAGTGCTTCAGGGCTCAGCCCTGGGAACTGGCCCTGCTTTGACTACAATCAAAGAGAGAAGACTGCTCTCTGATCAGGAGCAGGGCTGGCTGCTGGCCTCATTAGACCCATGGGCTCAGACCCGCTCCTCTCCATCGCACAGCTCCCGCAGTGCCTCTCCGCACAGCAGCGCCAAGCCAGCTTTGCTAGCTTGCACCAGAGGAGTTTTACCTGTTGATTTTAAAGCAGGATTCCCCCCATTCAAAACCATAAGGAGATGAATTCACAATGAAGCAAATGAAAAAAAGAAGAGTCATATTTACAGACAGCTGCTGTCACACACCCCCCACCCCCCCCAACTCCCTCCATTAAAGAAACAGCCTGCTCTTTGCCCATGTGCTTAGTTCTAATGCAATACTGGCCTTCCCAGCACTTCAGGACACAGTTTCTAATGACAAAGATAACAGAGTGCAGGCTTTAACTGAGAACTGATGCATGAACATGTTAAGTAGCTTTCCTCTCCCAGCTCCAGGAATAAATTACAGTTTTGCACATGAATAAAATGGACAAAAAATCTCCACTCCACACCCCCATCAGATTCACGTGATGTGGTGGGCAAAAGGAAAGATATTTGGAACAAACACTTCCTTCCCCTTCTCCCCTTGTCTGCAAATGGAAATATAACTGCAACTTAAAAGCCAGTATCTGCACTAAACAGATGGGATTCTGCTATGTTCATCTTTTTTGTGATGTTCAAGTAGCCGGGACTTCTGAAAGACATTTGGAACGAATGACAGGATACTGCCTAAATTAGAATCAGGCTCCAGGTATCTTCCTGTAATTAGATTATGTCATATGTTATACTCTTACTCATAGCCTGGGAAGGAGAGTGCAAGGGTACTTAATATCTGTAGATATTCAATTAAAATGAGTGCATCAGACGCTCACTAGGTCTGGCTTTTGCCTGCCTCACATCTAGCCCAGGCTAGCTTCTAAACCTTAAGAGACAAAGGAAAAGGAAAATGAACGCACACGCAGTAGAAGTCATCATACCCATATGTCTGCCTGCTGGCTAATACTGTTACCCAGTTGAAAGGGTAGAAAGTCATGCAGTTTACACTTTGTTTGCTATAGTTTGGGCTCTGTTAATTCTAAAAAGATAGAATTCAGATGGAGGGGAGAAACATTTGTTTGTAATACATGGCAATTTTGCCGGCTCTTGAAGGTCGCATTTCAAGCATAAATGCATGTGTCCATGCACTCCGAACACTTCCCTTTTTGAGGGCATTGGCATGCTTATGGCAAAAGCAACCAAACCAATTAATTAGGCACACGGTGAAAGATGGCATAGGAAAAACAAAAAAGATAAAGATCAGTCGTTTCTGTTCTGAAAATCCTTACTCAAAGCCTTGATCTCGCAGCAATAAGCTAAGCATGAAAGGTAGCAGACTCCTTCCTTGCATGAGAAGCAGACTCCTTCCTTGCATGAGGGGACCAGCAACACCAGCTGTGAAAAGCACACATAGAAAGGCTCTTATATATTATATATACAACTGTAATCCAGAATAAATAGTACTGCTCTGACTCAGAAGTGTATTTCAGCTTGGTTGTTGTTGTTTGTTACAGCTGGAGATGGCTTGCTTTTCATCCCTTCTGTCCCACCCTTGGACACATCGATGAAGAGCAACCTGGGAGTCCGGAGTGTCAGCAGTATCCTTTTGTACTCCTTCCGGAAATTCTGGTTAAGAAGCCCATAGATCACAGCATTGAGGCAGCTGTTAAAATAGGCCATAAAATAGCTCAGGACAAAAAGCCATTCTGGAATGTGTGGCTGTACTTTTGAAGGATTAATTGAAACAGCAAGGCCAATAAAGTTTAATGGTCCCCAGCACACAGCGAAAAGGACAAAAACTACAAACATAGTCAAGAAATTCCGGATGTCAGCTGCTCTGAGCTTCTGCTTGCAGTCTTGTCTCACCCGGTGTTTGACTTGAATCACCAAAATCCAGATCCGTAAATAGCAAAACGTCACGATGGACAGTGGCACAATGAAGTGAACCACCACCACCGTGATGGTGTATGATGTACTCACCGTCTGGGCAAAGGTGCAGGAATAAATCCGGGGGTCGTACTGCAAGGAGCCAATGAAGAAGTTTGGCACAATTGCCACCACTGTGAGTGTCCAGGTCAGGCAGAGATAGCAGCAGGTGTTCTTCAGGTTGAAGAGCTTATCATACCGAAGGCTGTGGCAGATGTAGCAGTAGCGGTTGATTGCGATCGCTGTGATGTTGAAAATGGACCCAATGACACTTAAGCCCATCATGAACCCGCTTATTTGGCAGTGAACGTTTCCCATGGTCCATCCATTATGAAGAATGGCACTCAAGATCAGAGGGTATGGATAGACTGCAACTACGAGGTCTGCGACAGACAAACTGATGACAAAGATGTTGCCTATAAAAAACGGAGAAGAGACCATGAGAGGTTAGCGCAGGTCCAGAGAGACAACTTGCAACTCAGAACTCCTCTTTAGGCCTAACTCTTCTCACAGGCTTTGCTCTACCCTGCATTTGGAATTTGAAACCCTAGAATATAAGACTTCGCTCTACTAGTGACAACAATGGGGAGTAACTAGGCGTGATTAACTTGCATATTCCTTCTTAAGAAAATTCTAAACTGGAAGTGTTACCCTTAACCCAGCTATAGCTGTGGGTCAGGTTCCTGTGCTCCTCTAAGTTGTGTAGAAAAGAAAGCTTTTGCTCTCCTTGTTAATCTGCCAGCATGATTGTAGTCACCATGCAGTCACCTAGCACTTGCTGTCCTGCAGAGAACTTCATTCCTTTAAACAATATACAGGACACAATACTTTCTAAAACATCACATAGTGATGTTATAAGCTCTGTCCATCTCGGGCCAAAGAATTGAGGCAGGCAGGTTAAGTTTTCAGCGGTTTACTCATTGCACTGACAGCAGTTGCACAGGAAAGATCTTTTTTGATCTTTTGCACGTGAACAGGTATATTTTCACCAGAATTTCTGCAGTGTTCATGTTAAGGAGCACATGTTCTTCCAGGAGCCACGGTGCAGCCAGCCTTTATGTGCTTATCTTCTTCGGTATGGTTTGCTGTTCCTTTAATATTAAAGTTGTCCAATGAAATGTGGAAGGTCAATCACTCCTGCACTGTGCCTGGGCAGGGAATATGATTAATAAGCTGCTGTCAGCCATCTCTGGAGAGCATATGCTGCAGGTTGTCTATTTAGACTCTAAAACGAAGAGAGTTGAGAGTCTGTGCAAATATGAAACAATTTAAGCCTTGCTGGACTGAAGATGGCACACTGAGTGGGACAGCACCTGTCAGCTCCAGTGTGTGGGGTAGCCTCCAATGACCTGGGCAACCAGTGACTTCCTAAAAGCACTTACTGCTCATTTTATGAGTCTGGTGTATTTTTAGGTAGGCAAAAAGCCTTTCTGTTCAGTTTGCCAGTCAGAGTGGAGGAGCACATTGAGAAAGGGACCTTGAGGTCTTTTGGGAACTGGTGTAACTACAGGACCAGCTATAATGTTGAAAAGGACATGTGTCAAAATTCAGCTTTTTGATGACTAGACAAATTGTCACTTCAGGAGCTCAACAATGCAGTTAGAGGACAGCACACAAGAAAAAGTAGTTGTTTTTCTTAGCTCTGCTACTTTCAGGTGTATCTGTAGTGGCAGGAAGGCAAAAATTGCTAGAGTACCAGTAGAGGTTATGTTTAACACATTGAAGGTATTCACACCTACGCCCCTGTGTGTTACAGGCAAGGTGCCAGCCCACTGATCACACCTGCACATTCTCTTCAAACCCTCATATCCTGCTGCCTACCAGATTATACAAAAAATAACCATTGAAAAGAGGATTTTTTCTGTAATATCCATGAAGGGACTCTCTGAGATCTCAGTTTAGCTAGTTCACTGGCTTCAGTATTTGGAAAATACATCCCAGGACTGGAAGAAATCACAGCCACATTGCCATTGCAGTTGGCTCATTGCTATGTCTGTTGCCAACAAAAACTATCGGGACAAGTCAACAGTTCATATCAGGCAGCAGACTCCACTTCACGCTGACTGGAAAACAGTCCAGACTTGAGAATAGCCCACGGCATTGCAGAGCCACGACAGCTGACACAAAGTGTCATTTTAAAATAAATATTAGCAGAGGTCAAGTGAAGTGTCGAAATCTTTTTAGAGAGAGCTTTCACATACACAGGTTTACCACAGCACAAAACTTCTGTGGCTGCTGTGCCTCTGTGCCGCTTTTTTGCTGATCTAATATCTTACTTAGAGATTTTTAAAATGCAGTCATTGAACCTGGTCCCTATTATAATCAACTCTACTTACGCCCGCTGTCAAGGGCAGAACTACATGTGGTCAGGCTTAGCGCTTGTGCAGGCACCCCAGAGAGGGAACGCTTTTCTGCAGTAAAACTTCTATTCCTTCGATCAAAAATACGCCACTTCAACAAAAAGCAAAATGTGTCCCCAGAACCAGAATTTCCTTTTGGAAAGGTTTTCCAAAACAATTTTCAAGACCACAAAACAGACGTAGAGAGGTATCAGCAACCCAATTTAGGAGACTTCCAGAGGATGCTGGAGGCAGACTCCACTGCTGGGACCATAACCCTCCCTCTGCACTGGACCTGTCCCACTTGGATACACATTTATACACACAGGCAGAGAGCAAGCCTCTGCGTTTGCTGGGGACACCCACTTCTGAATCAGGCAAAGCAGAACAAAGCTGGATATTCCCTACTTAAGACAACACATCAGTGGGTTTAATCCAAAGCTTAGCAAAATCACAGGGAAAATTATTAGCCTCACATCACTGCCAGCTGCTGGGAGAAACGAGCAGTCTCTGTCAGTCTTTCTTCATTAATTTGAATAGTTGGGAGGAAGTAAAAACATCAGGGAGAGAAATCTATAAAAATAAGATTCACAGGATGGATTTAGTAGTTTGGATTCAATCCAAGAGCACAGTATTGTGTGTATTATTTTGACACCACTTCATTGCATGTTGATCCAGCAGGGAGAAAATGAGACGGTTTTATCGAGACAAGAATTAATAATCTCCTCCTTCACTTGGAGAGCAAGCCTGCCTTCCTCTGCTCTGTGCTTTCACCTTGCAGTCTTGGCTCTCCTATCCGTTAGAACGCCTATCACCCTGGCAGGGTGTCGGGTCCCTGAAAATAAGGTCACAGAACCACAGAATCACAGAATAGTAGGGTTTGGAAGGGACCTCTGTGGGTCATCTAGTCCAACCCTCCTGCCGAAGCAGGGTCACCTACAGCAGGCTGCACAGGACCTTGTCCAGGTGGGTCTTGAATATCTCCAGAGAAGGAGACTCCACAACCTCCCTGGGAAAGGTTCATTCAGTACTATTTCACAGAAACAAACCCATCTCCCGTTTTATCTGGCAATGTGGTCAACTTCATATTTCTCTTCTTGTGAGAGGAACATGAAGTTTTTGTGTTCATTGCATGAACACACTGCATGCCTCCAAAGCAGAACACACCCTTCAAAGTATAGGAACTGGCTGCTGGCAAATGATTAAAACAAGAGTAACCTGAGTTAAACACTGCTTCAGCCTCGCCATCCCTGGTTTGCTACGGGAGCACCACGTGCTGGGCTCTGCGGCCAAAGGCTCATGTCCTCATCCTCTGTAGGATGAGATCGGACCCTCACTCCCAAAAATACTGCCAAATGGGAAGCCATCTAATGTGTGGCTTTTAGGGATGGTAAAGAGCAGCCTCCTGTCAACGATCTTCACAACTGTATTTTTTTACATTTTTCCACTATAAAACAGGAGTCCTGCCCATAAATAATACCAGCAGGACTTTATCTCAAATTTAAAATTATCTGCTTCTGTGACACTATTTTAAGTTGTATCTTTTTCTCTTTGTTGGCACGTAACTATATTTCCTCATTAGCTTTTACATTTTCCGTCCTGTTTTTAACTTCTACTTAGTATAAATCGGTTCATGTGCCACTGTGCTCTATCCCCCAGTTATGGAGTCATACATGAAGCATGGTGGAGAAAGACAAGTCTGTCACAAGGACACGGGTAATACAGACATGGC